AGAAAAAGCTTACTGACTTACAGAATTTGAAACATGTTCCTCCTGATGGAGACAGGGTGAGCCACAAGTTAGAGCTGGACACGACACAGATGCACAGAGACACTCCAGACCCACCAAAGGCAGCTGCAGACTCCATTTCTTTGCCTTGCAATGTGATCAAGCCCAGCTTTGGCAGGAAAGGCTCCATTTTAGCCTCTCCATGGCTGATAAGAAACAGATGCTGAATGTCTCCTAAAATTCTAACACAGAGAACTATTCCTTAAGAAGATTTTATACAACTAGGAAAGAAATACAAATATAAAAATGGAGTCAAAACCCATTTAGCAGGTTATCATTAAAAAGTATTTAGGAACTTCAAAGCCAGAGGCAAATCACAATACAGCAGTTTTCCAGACACTGGCTGGAGGGCCTAAACGCCCTTGATACCAATAACAAGTCAAATCATGAGCTGAGGAACCCTGGCAGCAATAAGAAAACTCTACTGTACTAGAAAATCTTCCCCTGCCTTTCAGGTGATGTTCTGGGTCCTTTAAGTTCCTGGGCAGGAGGAATCCTGCAGACTGCTAACTATCAGCAAAGAACACTCCTTCAGGTTACAGCACTGATTCACCCAAGGTAAACCAATGAAAACACCTCTGCCTTCAAATGAGACTGTATAACCTTTAAATCAATGACAGAACGCATGACCAGTTTTGTACGGATAAGAAAGAAAACAAGAAAGACCAAAAGAAAAAACTTCAAAATATTTTTTTCAAGAAAGGCAATTTCCTGGTTAAAAAAAGACATCAACAAGCCTCCCAACATTGAAGTGATGCTCTCCCTATGACCCTCTCTCTCTCACCCCCTTCCCTGTGGTCTGCAGCACTGTTTATTTTCCCTTTCACTTTATATAATGGGTCTGGTAGAAGTGTTCTAAGTACACATTCGATTTGCAATAAAAACTGCTTTAATAAAGACATCTAACTTGACGGAAGGTCAACTAGGAGACAACAATTCGCATAAACCAAAACCTCCTGTGTAAATAAACAGGATCTGCAGGAGCCTCAGGATGTCAGACAGTCTGGCCAAGACTGCAGGGAGGGAGCCTGCCCATGAAGAATTGCACTTGGGGACGGGCAGGAGCGGAGCCCTGATGGCTGCAGCAGTGTCCCACCTTGGGAGAGGCAATGGCCAGAGCAATCTGCAGAGCGTGTCCTCCAAAAGAAGCAGAGTTACAGCACGCTCAGGACGAGTCCAGCTCTGTCACTGCACAGCCCAGCCATGCCCAGGCAGCGGGCACAGGCACGAGGGCAGCAGAACTGGCTCAGGACTCGGGGCAGACGCAGATGGAGGAAGCACAATCTTGGCCACTGCTGCTGACAAGGCACCGAGCAGCAGATGAGGCGCCAGCATCGCTCCTGGGCCGCCAGCTGTGGTACACAAAAACACCCCAAAGCCCCTGTGTGCAAACACCCACTACACTGCTTTCTCCATATGTTCCCCTCCAGCCCAGCAGCCCCCAGGCTGATCACACCTAGACCTGTGTGCAGGGACAGGCAGCAGGAGGGTGCAGGAGCAGAACTCCTGAGCAGCAGCCAAGTGCACGCTGCTCTTCCCCTCTGGAGACAGGCCTGGAAAATCATCCCTCCACTCTCCAAGAGGTGGAAGATCACGTTGCAAGCATATTGTTGTATTTCATATTTCTCAAGTCCCATACTGTTGCAATTGTATTCTTAAAGTTCATACCTCCTTGTCTGGTTTTCTACCAAGCTGTTCTTCTCTGTAGCACAGTTCTTCATAGCTTCTCAGGGTCTCCTCCCGGGCTCTCGACCCACCCATTTTTATTCCAGTTACCTTCACAAGCTACAGCTGCTGCCCAACTAAGGACTTCGCAGCTGTGGCTCGTTTGGAGTAACTAGGACCCACTTAGCTAATACACAGATCTTACAGGGACACTCTCCATAGGATCACCCCTCCATTCTCCAAGAGTCACCTCTTGGTGTTGGCATTGGTATTTCACTCCAACACGCCACCGACAAGCGAGCTGCTGCTTCAGGACCTTACGCATGCTCTGCTCCCCTCCAGGAATCGCAAATAAATCACCAATTACTATGCATGAATAGAGAGAGGAAGAGGGTAATGAGTCTATGTACATATATACATATGCAATGTTTGAACACAAAGAGCCGTAAATTGCATTCACAGGTGGTATTCTGGAGACTGCAAGAGACTCAGAAGCAGAACTATTCATAAACCAGTCACTGACATGAATGAGTTCAGCGTTCCCCAGAAGCCTATTGTGTTTCCTATATATTACACTATAAATATGAGGAGTACCAGACTCTGCATCCCTCCCTGCAAAAAAAAAAGGAGGTAAATCTTGCAACTACACATAGGATTAGCACTGGCTGGCACAAGTATTAATGGTCTCATTGCTGCATGAGGATTATTTACAGCACTTGCTCTATTTTCCCATTTTGTACTTGTTGTGATGAAGTGCCACTTGTTTAAAGAACCCTGTAACAAACACTGCAGCAAGAGGGGGGAAAAACAGCAGAGATCTACAAATGTTACACCCACATGCCAGATGTGGGTTTTCAGACCCCGGTTTCACAGCTACTTGGATTTTGGTACGTAGTTAATGCTCGATATATTATATTAAATCACCCACCATTCCTCCTTCAGTGGTTTTAATGAGCTTGCAGAAAGGGAAGGAAAGAATGAGTTGCATTTCTTTTTCTGCATATTTGACCCATAGTATTTTATCCCCATATTCTAGCATTAACATCACTTGTTTGGGAAGCAACAGTCCTTTTCCAGTCCCTTACATTTACATTACAAAACATGCATTTTTACTCGACTAAGTCAAATGATGTTTCACTTTTATAAGGGGCAACCCAAAGCACTTCTGTGTGACTTGTGATTTTGAGGCACTGTCACACAACCCCAGCTTTATTAAAACTGGCAGCTGGGCAAAAGGGGAACAATCAGCTGGAGAAGTCCAGGTGAAAGGAACGAAAAGAAACTCCAGGCACACACGTGGTAAAACAGCCTCACATTCAGCACAGGGAGGCCAGCAGGATGTTTTTATGAACCAGATACGTCCATGGGATTTGGGGACCCCTGAAAAGCAACCTATCCTCCAAAGCGACAGATGACAGCGCGCAGCTCGTCCCCCGGGGAGGACCAAGGCAGGTTAGAGCCGCTTTTAGGTCAAAGCAGAAAGGTAATTCCTGCAAGCAGGGGGTCGGGGCGGGCTCGGCAGCGGGTAGGGCTCCGGGGGAGCAGCAGCACGGGGTGTGGAGCGCAGGGCTGGCGGGTCCCGGCGGCCGGGAGCGCTGGGCAGGAGCAGGGATGCTCCGGGCAGGAGGAGAGGGATGCCCCGAGCTGGAGCAGGGATGCCCCGGGCAGGAGCAGGAGGAGAGGGATGCCCCGAGCTGGAGCAGAGGGATGCCCCGGGCAGGAGCAGGAGGAGAGGGATGCCCTCTGCCGCTCCTCCGCCGCAGCAGCTGGGCGTGCTCCGGAGGGAGCGCTCAGCGACCCACGGACCCGAGAGCTCCATATTAGGAATCCCTAATCCAGAATGGAGCTATTGTTCTTCCACCAGCAGAGAGGGAGCGTGCGAAGAGCCAAGGCAGCAAGCGCTGTGCCCTTCGCCTACACCCATCTTGCGGGCTACGACAGCCTCGCTGCACTCACGGAGCAAAGGCACCCTGCATAAACTTAGCTCCGAGATGGATTTTTTTCCAGGGAACCCATGGAAGCAAGCTGGTGGTTAGGGGAAGTTTGAACCGTCTCCAAAACCATTTCAAAGAGTTCGCTCTCTCTCTTTGCAGAGCACACCAAACCCCCCCTCCGCCCCAAATTACAGACACGAAGCATGACTGCAATTCTAGCAGAGATCGTGTTTCCAAATTGGCAGAGCAGGTATGTATGTGACAATTCTCAAGACAGTAAAATTGCCAGCCCTGCCGCTTCTTCCCTCAATAGCGTTAATGCCAGCAGAAAATCATACCCGTGAAAAGGCAAATCAAAACAGCTCCGAGGTTGCTCTGCACACACACAGGCAGAAAGCAGAGTGCGGGTGCCGTGCTGTGTTTTCCACAAATGTTCCTATCAACTCATCAGTACTTAAGCCTCGCACATCGGTCTGCAGCAAAAAGCGTAGAGGCGTTTTAACTGCCTTGTATTCTGCTTTCCCCGAATTTGTAGGAAGGAATCTCGCATTCCCACAGCATCTCTCAGCCAGCGCCGGGATCCCAGAGGACTTTGGCGAACTGCATACAGTCATCCCCGGGGCAGGCGCTTGTGGGACGGGACAAACCACACGTTTAACGGTTCACGAAACGCCGGCCGAGAGAAGGGACCACGGCAGGACTCTGAGAGGCAGCACAAAGCAATCAAATTGCATTTCACGGCAGCAGCAAGGACTGCCTTCCCTCTACATTTCAACGCGCTCTTCCAGAGCCAAGCAGAGCACTTTGTTTCTGCAGCCTACCTTACCCCAGGCATTTTCTCCGCTTTCATTGTGCAAGCTCAGCACAGAGCCGTGTCACTCCCTACCCTCACGGTTCCCCTCCGAGACAGCCCCGAGCCCAGCAGCAGCCCCTGGACGGCCGCTCGCCTTCCCAAGTTGCAGCCGGAGCCCGCCCGGAGCCGGAGCCGCCGGTCCCCTGTGCTCCCGCCGCTCCCACGCCCCGGCCGGAGCCCGGGGCACGGCGAGGAGCGGCCACCGGGGTATTGCGGCTGGACATGAAACCCTCATTTATTTAACACACACATATATATACATACACACATTTTTACAGGGCATTTTTCTTTTTTAGCCACTCCTCCCTCCGACCACAGGAGCAGGGCGGGCAGTGACAACTCCTGGGGACGGGCGCTTGGCACTGACAAGGGGCGATCCTCCCTCACGCCCTGCCCGGGACTGCGCCTACCGGGGTCCCGTCCCGTCGCGTCCCACCGGGGCACCCCCGCGCTGTGCTGTCCCGTCCCGCCCCCCCCCACAGAGCACTTACCGAGGAGCAGCACGGAGGCGAGCAGCGGCCGCAGGGTCCGCATGGCTGCCGGGGCGCGGGGCGGCGGCCGCCCTTGCCGCCCTTACCTCCCGCCGCGGGGCGCCGCGGGGCGCCGGCTCCCGGGGCAGGCGTCGCGCCGGGCCCGGCGGCACAAAGGGAAGGCGGCGGGGCCGGCACGGGGAGGCGCCAAGGCAGGCGGGGGCATCGCCCCCGCAGCGGGGCGGCCGCCGCGCCTCCCCTCAGCGCCGACGGCTCCCGCGGGAGAGGCAGAGGAGAGCGAGAAAAAAACCTCTCCTCCGAGGAGCGGAAAAATAAAAAAAAAAAAGAGCGGGGAAGGTGCGGGGGAGAGGAGGTGGGGGGAGGCACGAGCGACAACAAAAAGACCCCACCCCGGAAAGTTACACAAATAAGAAGGAGCCGCAGCCGCCAGCTGGCCCCGGCCCGCCGCCCTCACCTGCCCGCCCACCCGCCCGTTGAGCGCTGCCGCCGCCGCCGCCGCCGGTGCCCGGCGCTTCCTCCGCCCGCAGAGCCCGCCCCCGGCCCGCCCCGGCCCGCCCGCCCCTGCCCCGGAGAGCGGCGCTGCTGGGACGGCGCTGCTGAGCGCCGTGCCTGCAGGAATGTCGTGCCGTGGGGCAGGGGTCGTGAAGGAGTGCGGGGATAAAGCGGGCTCCTTTGTTTTAAGGGAAAAAAAAAAATAAAAATAGAAAGTCCTCGGGCGCTTCTCGGAAAGCCGGCGTCTTGGGGCATGGTATAAATGCGCCCCTTTGTTTCCATGCAAACCAGGAATAACAGGCGGGCTTTGCAAGTTTCGATCAAGTGGTGACCGTCCCGCCGCGATGCGCTGTTGTCGAGCCCCGAATGCAGGGCTGGCGTTAATGCCAGGTTGCCAGATGTGCGCCCTCAGATGTGAGATCCTCCTTGGGATGCTGCCCAGTCAATCGACACCACAGTGTGTCAATGGCAGAAGCGCTTTGAAAGTAAACACTGAAATGCAGAAATATGGCAACACTAGGCGCTGGGGCTGAGGTTGTTTGTAAATAAAACGAGAATGTGAAAGCCTTTCTCAAGGGTACAGACATTCAGATTTCCTTCCAAATGAAACTCCTAGCTGCTTGTTTGCTTACAAAAATGAGAAGCCAAAAGTGACAGGAATAGCAGAATTAGGTACCCTCCCAGTGCTCCCATCCTGCAAGGATCCTCTACAGGAGACCCTTCTGCCTACGTACAGAGTGTCCCCAGTGAAATGTTGGTGATGCAAATGTAGGAACCCAACCCTTTTATGCCAGAAAAGGGATAGCAGAAAGCAGCACAAACCCAAACTGTCTAATAAAAGATGCCAAGTCCTTAGAGGCTGTACCCAGCAGAAGTCAGAAGCTGTCTGGATTACCATATGGACTGGCTTCCCAACGTGGCTGTCGTGGCAGATGCGTTGGTAGCCAGCTCCTAGTGACCCAGCAAATTCTATTTCTGCAGGCTAATAATGTTAAGCGTGCCGTTTTCAGAGTGGGAGGTTTAATTTGAAGCTTTGCCACGCTCTCTGAGCAGAGGAACCAAAGAACAGAATAATAACCAGAGATCTGGGAGAGAAAGGGTTAGTGCTGTACTTGCACTGAAAATGAAGCTCACGCTTTGGCCCTTAAGCTTTAATTGCATCCAGACTGCCTTCAAGTGAGACTTGGAAAAGGAACGGAGGTGTTGATAAGAGTTCATAGAAAATACCAGTCTATTTGGCTTTTCTCTTAGGTGATTTGAGGGCTGAAGTGTCATCCACTGTAATATTGCTCAGCTTACCCAATATTTGTCACATTTGTGCTATTATAAGTCCTCATGGACAAGCCCGTGTGTATTGGGAGCAAGAACTGTGGAGCTACTTTGAAGTAAATAAACGTCCAACGTCTTTAAATTGGTGCAGGATAAAGATCATTTACTCATGCAGGATAAAGATAATTTACTCTCTTGCTTCAAAAGATATGCAACTAGAGAAATAAATAAGCAAAAAAAAAAAAAAAGGCAAATTAAGAAATACAGGGCATGGTCAGGATAAAATCAATAAAAAGGAGGTATTAAAGCTTCATGATACACAAGATAGTTTTTCTAGATGGCAAGGGATATAGACTTCAGATTCATGACATTCCTATGTGGACACATTATTTCCATGTTCAGATGAAAAGACAGAGACGAAAACACTGACATGATTCAGGTGATTTCCAGGGACAGGTCAGGGACAAGCCTGGTGTCTTGGCTCTGAATACATTGCTTTTGCCAGTGGAGCCTGTTGGAAGATAATTCAAGGTGATTTTATGTGAATTCTTGCTATTTTCCAGGCACTATGTGACTTTATAGCATACAAACCTAACAGGAGCATAAAAATGCCCTGCAAAAATGTTATCAGAGATTCACTAAACTCACATCCTCTTCTCAGAGCTCTCGCAGAGTATTGCATTAATGCATAGTAACAATAAAAATATAAAAAGACCATGGAAATGACATTATAGCATTATAAGATTAATCCAATTCCAGTCAAATTAGATTATAATAAGAACTGTGTGTGCTGAAGACTATTAATGGGAACCTGTGTTTCAAGAGCTTCGTCACCTTTGCGCGTGCTCTCCTCCCTGACCCCGATAATAAAAATAGCTTGGTGTTCACCAGAGAGCCCCTCTGCAGAGGAATCCACAAACACCTCCTGGTCTTTTGGGGAAAACACTGGCCTCACTTCTGCATCAGGGGAGAAACTGAGGCTCGGGCAGCGCAGCTTTCTCTAGCCCAGGGAGGCAGGCAGGCTCAGGCTCACATGGTGGGACTCTGTGGCCATCTGTCTGTCCGTGTGGTTTACTCACATGGCCAAATGGAAATGTCACCTCAAAGAGAGAACCCTTTCAAGCACAAGGGTACCGTGAAGCAGCTTTCCAGGAAGGCAGATCTGGGCTGCCTTGTTCTCCCAGCACAAGTGAGTCATTCAGGAGCGCCTTGCTCAGCAGCAGCCGGAGCGTTTTGGTCGGGCCACGCGGTTGCTCTTTGGCAGCTGGAGGCAGACAGGCGTGACTCAAGCCATGCTGATGATACACTCATTAGGTCACAAGCCACTCCAGCTTCTTTCTCAGTGCTCCATCACTGCCAGCAGTGTGCTGGGACTTGCTTCCCCATGGCTTGCCTTGGCAGGCAGGGCTGGAGACTGGGCAGCGGGAAAATGGGGAATTGATCCCGCGTGGTGCCATTTGCTGGGCTGCTCAGTGCTCACTCCAAGTCACAGGCACTTCCCATGTGTGAGAAATGCATTTGTAAGGGATTCTCAAAACCTGGCTGAAAGCTCACACAGTCTTGTACATTTGTATGCAAACACTGAGATAAGTTGTGCTGACTTAGGAAGGCCACGGAATAGAGATGACATTGTTGAGAGAGAGATTGAACTAGAAACAAGTTACAAATTATGGCCTTGCAAAAAGACCAGATATTTTAGGGAATTAGAACTGTGAAAGATGCATTGTAGCAAGACCACATGGGGTAAAAATATAGGTGATTGGTGTTAGAAGTACTAGCAGCGTTGTGTGGCAAAAGCTAATAGGAGTAAAAATATTTATAAGGTATTGTAACCAGGAAATAGGTTGGCTTCTGATAAAATGGCGTTGAGTTTTACACTTCTAATGTCTCACCCTTCAGCGAGACTGATAATGGAATAAGATATTTTAAAACCCCTCTCAGTTGCCCCATCTCTGTAAAGCTGGGGTTTTCCAGCACCCATGCTCCTGCCTTTCCCAGCAGAAGCACAACCAATGGTTCCTGAGTGGGAGCTGAGGCTGGGCGGCTGCTGTGTGGCCGAGGCCATCAGGGGAGATGCATCCCAAGCTCGGGATTGCCAGAGGCTGCTGTAGTACAGCAGCTGTGACAGGAGCTGCGTCCTTCGCCCCAGGGAAGCAGAGTGACATCAACATCCAGGCTCTGAGCATGCTGCTTGCCCGATGAGCACAGCCTGCCCCTGGCCCACACATGAGCAAAGTTAAACTCTTGTCTGGCCCTCAGAGAAAAGAGGTTTGTTTGGCAGAAATGCAGCTCATGTATGTTATGAAATAGGAATGCTGGTCCTTTTTCAGGACAAAACACTGCACACCCTCAAGTTGGGACCAAGTGAGGATTTACCCTGCTCCTGATTAGCAGGGGGGAGAGGGAACAAGGCACAGAACAGATTTGCAAGCCTTAGATTTTAGAGCAGGCAGTAACCTGGGTGCTAATGGTAACAAGCTGTAGCAAAAAGAGGGACTGGACTCAACAGAACAAGGCAGGAGAGTCCTGACTCCTTTGTAAATCAGGAGAAATTATTTCCTTCCTGCAGGGGAGGGAAAGAAATCATGGTGGGAGAAGAGGAGGGGGAGATTCAACCGCAGTTGCAGGAGTGACTCTCTCCCTGAGGGCAGTGACTTGGGCCAGAGCTGGAGAGCAGAAATGACTGTGTGGCTCAGAGACAGGGAGCTGTATCTACATCCCCCTCCTCTCAGAGGCCACCTGAGCATTTCAGATAGAGCAGAGTCAAACCATCCAGAAACAGAAAGCACTTAAAAAAATTGTCCTGTGCGATTTGCCCAAGATCACACAACACAATCCACAGAACTCAGGGTCTTAAGTCTGGAGATGTGCTTGGGGAAGCATCACAATGGGGTCAAAGCTCCTCTGCCACACTGTGAAAGGGAGAGGAGCTACACCTAAAGCTTTGGTCTGAAATGGGGAGGAACGGCCAGAGCCATTAATTTTGACAGAATCATTGCCTAAAACATTTTCTCCAGACCTTATTTACACTGTGAAGTTTTGAACATCAGTTTCACCCAGAGGAAAAAGAAGATATTTATATTTAATGGCCAACATTTAAGCTCCTTTAAAATGAGCTGAGAGGTTGCAGTTGGAACAGAAAGAAAACCCTAACTGCCCTGGCACAAAGCAGCACTGCTGCCATTGCAGGGAAGCTGCCATCTAACGAGACTGAGGTTTTGGGTTTAACTCAGCCCACATTGCACCCTAGGACCCATATGCCAATCCTTTGATGGCATCAAGGCAGTTCTCAGGAAGCCCCATGGATTTGAAGGAATTCCCATTTGTGTGCCCTG